GAGAGAGAGAGAGAGAGAGAGAGAGAGAGAGAGAGAGAGAGAGAGAGAGAGAGAGAGAGAGAGAGACTGGCCCAAACTTACCCAGCCGGCTTTCATGCCTAAGGCAGGACTTATTTTAAATTACAAACTTTGTGCAATTAAATTACAAATAGTGTAAATTTCAGGGTAACTATACTGTACCATTTAACACTTTTGAACTCTTCCACAGAAGTTTTATTCGAAGCATTGACACAATTTAATAGAAAACAGCATTAATCATATAACCAAAATTGCATGAAAACAAGTGGAAGGTTTTGTGTTGTTCTTCCTGGACTGCCTATGAGTAAAAAAAACGTTTACTGGAAACAAAAAAAAAACCCTCGTAGGTTCTTTTATCATTTCGTTCTACTCCATGGTGAGCCAGCTCTCTACACCTTTCGTCCTTCACTTTCGGACTATGAATTCAGTGTCTAGCATCTGCCCAGAATTCAAGTGGACCTTTTCTGGTTCTGTTCTCTTTTTCAAGTGACTGCAGACTTGTCAGATCAAATGCTTGTTGGGTTCTTTGTTATTTAAACAAGGTTCTTTGCACTTTAAAAAAAAATCTGAGAAGAGATGATTGACATTGGAGCTAGACCAGAAAGAGAAAGTATTTTCTAATTGGCATAAAGAAAACTCTATTTGTAAATAGCCTATTTTTACTGTAAGCTGGAAAAACAGGTTATCCCGAGTTCAGATCAGGGAGGAAGACATGTATGCAGAATGTCACAGACAGGTCTACTATGTAGTAGTCTATTTCTCAGAAGGATTGGAAAGCAAAATTTATGTGTGGAGTCATGTTACAGTTTCAACACTTTAACATGCATCAAAAACATTTGACCCCCAAACTCAGGTTTCATAGCTATCAGAAACAAAATTTGGCCCAGAACTGCTTTTCATTAATAATGTTCCTAAAACTCTTCTCTTCAAAAGAAAAAATATTAAAAATGCATAGCAAATTACTGAAGAACATGAATCTTACCGATGGCAAGGGGATTAATTACAACTATTTGAAAATTAATGCTATTTTTTCTGAACAAAATTATAGCAGTTATTGATTTTTCAATTAATATGGGCATTCTCCAAAGATTAGTTCATCTTTTTCAATATGTGATGAAAGAAATATTGTGAAATAAATGTTCCATAGACAAATAGTAATGATATTTACCTATCAGGCTCAAATATACAGATGGACTAACCCCTCCTAAACACCCTTATTATCATACCATTCAGAATTTCAATGCCAGTTAAACCAATAAATACAATAAATACAGGTACAATAAATCAACAACACCTTTCTCATTTCAGCATGATAGCATTGAGTATTTTGTTTCCAGTACTGTTTCATTAAGACAGTTAAATTGGTTTTCCCCCCACTATGCCATAGCAAACTCACTGCATTTGCTTAGCTGGCATCAATCTTGGTATTCAAATAGTTAAGACTGTCCTAAGAATTCTCAAATTAAATGTGTGTGTCCTTCACAACATTTAATCTGAGGAGTCTACACAGTGAGGGGGGAAAAAAACGGCTGACCAAGTTTTATGAAGAACCCAATGGCATTCTGTACTAAACTGGTTATTGATGATATGGAAATGGTTCCTGCATTATTATAATTCTTACCTTTGGGGAAACTGTTGGGTTGTACAATCCCCAAGTAACCGTGCACCATACTGAACAAGCCTTGTAAATCAGCATGTAAGTTACTGGGTGGTTGGTGATAGGTGGGCTGTGTGAAGTTTTGAAGAGGCATCTTCAGAGGGTGAATAGGCAGCACAATCCCAAGTCCTAGGACAAGTTAGAAAGCCTTTGTGGATCTTCAGGAGTTTGTTTTCTTCACAGGAATCTCTGTCCAATGCTGCTCTACAAGCACCTTCCACTTAGATGTAATACTCTTTGAAGCTTCCTCTTACCCCGGAAACCTAGGTGATGATAAAGCAGGAGTGTACCATAAAGTATGAATAACCCAGCAACCACCAGAAAAATGTCAGATGAAACATCAAACGTTATCAGTTTCCTTATGAGAAAAAAAATAGGATAAGGAAGTTAATATGGATTTTTTGGACAGGTGACATTCAACTTTCAATGCTCAAATAATGGAAGGGAGGGTTGAAAGCCCCAAAGCCCCTTAACCCAGTTGTCCCCAAAATGAAGCCATAAGTACATAAGAACAGTCTGGAAAAATTAGACAAAGCCCATCTCAATCTAGAATATTGCTTTTCACAATGGCCAATCAGACATCTTTTGGGTGCTGGAAAGAAAACATGGAAATAGGCAAATTATCTTAGGGAGCAGGAGAAATCAGGGTTCTCTCTGATGTATATATATATATATATATATATTGTCTCAGTCATATTCCCAATCAATACCTTCTTTTTTTTTTCAAACCTGAAGAATTGTAGCCTTTTCTCAGGAGGAAAAGGTTGAAACCTTCTCTATCTGCCTAAATACAGCGGCTTCCACAAAACATTAGAGAGCAGAAGTCCTTTTGCACTCCAGTTCATTTGAAAACTTCCTATTATTTTCCCTTCTGCCAATCAGAGTGATCAACAGGACACAGACATAAAGTATAGTGGTTAGTGGAGGAGCTGAGGACATAGAAGAAAAATGCCAGTGTAAAAATATGGCGGAGAAGAGCCCTTATTTAGTAGGTCCATGTTAGAAGAGGAAGATGGCAGACTTATTTAGTTGCTGTGTTACTGTTAGAATGCAATGATTATCCCATAATTCAACAGATATTGGGTCCTTGAAACACCTGTGTCACCTACTTTAACTAACAGATTATCAGAATTATGAGACATAATCTTAGAAACCCTATCCTTTAATACCTGCTTAACACAAGCACTCCGAGAGAGTATTTTTCTACTTTCACATTTGGAGGGACAGAACTCCGTGTATTCCAGGGCCACTTTCACAGGAGATTAATGGGGGTTGGACATGAACCACGTTGCTCCAACTGCACATTCCCTACCCACCCTTAGTTCATGCTAACGGGGCAGGCTGGTGGGGGATACATCCTGTTCAATACTTGTCTGCCTTACCTTCCAAAGTAACGCCCAGAGGAAGGTGCAGCTCTGGCTACCTCAGCTTCCCATTCACCTCCCCTCTACGCACCTTTTTTGAAAATAACTTCCCAGCTTCACCCTAATGCCTTATGTGTCCAAACACACTTGGCCAATAAAGAATTCTATTCTGTTCTATTTTTCCTGCCTCTCCTTTCCCGGAGAAGAAATTCAGATGCCCCGGATGGGAAGTGGGTCCAACTTTGCTACCAGGCGCCCAAATTCTTCCAAACGCTGCAGAAAAAAAGGAAAATGACTCGCCACCTGGGAGGAGGTTGGGGGAATGAGAGGGACCGGAAGGGGGCCGCGGGAGCCGGAGGAGCAAGACAGGAAAAAAAACCGGGGCTTGGAGAGCCCTAGGAGTGCGCCTTTCCCAGGGTTTCTCCTCTCCGGCAGCGCCATAAAACTATTGTACTCAATCCTTAGTGAACTGCACCACAGCTGCAAATCTTCTCTGGGTTAAGCAAACCCGGCTAGATGAAACTGCACTCCCGACCCCTCCACACAGAGATGATAATTAGATAGCTAGGTAGCTAATAGGAGTGGGGGGGGAGAGAGAGAGAAGTAGCGTCGAATCGCGCGGGTTCAATCCGGATCAAAGCGCGCTATTGCTCAGCTCCAAGAGTTCCCCGCCGCGCGACTCCCACCCTCGTTTTCCCTGGCCCGGGAGAGCGAGCCGTCCGCAAAGTCTCAACTTCCCGTCCCTCCATCTGTTCCTCGCCCTCACTTCTTTCTGAGGAAAATTCACGAGAGGGGGGAGTAAGTGGGGGTGATGGTCACACACACACCCCTCCCGCCGTCGGAACAGAAGAGACTCACTTAATACTGCAGCTCCGCGAACACTGGGGGGCGCCGCGCTTGCGAAAGGAGAGACCCAGATCCTTAAAGAGGGTCGACGCGAATTCCCATAGCGAATTTGTCCTGCAGAAGGAGGGGCTGGACACGCGAGATTAGTTTCGCTACCCTTGGGATGTGATCCAATCCCAGCCCGACCTTTCCTTCCTTCTGCGCCCTCGCTTTCTCTCTGGGCGGCTGGGCTATTCTCCGACCTCCAAAAATGCGACTGGTGGCAGAGACGCTTAATGGTTGGTTTCCTTAACGACGTGAGCGTGGAGTCCGAGGGAGCGGCGACGCTTAGACCTTCTAGAGCCGGGACTTTGGCAGCTCCCGAGAACCATTGGCCCCATTTTCTCCGCAGCCCCGCACGGAAGAGTTCTCGTTGACTTGTTTTTTTATGAGTGGTGTCCTCAGTTTCTAACCAGGGTTCCAAGGAAACAACTCTGGTTCTGGCGAGAGGCGTAAGGTCGCCAAGGTCCCGTCTAATGCAACATCCTCCTCTGGCAAACGGGACTTCAAAGGTTTCTCAACAAAAGTAGCTTCGCACTTCCTCTGTTGAAATAAGGCCCTGAAATTGCAAAGGTAGCTTGCAGTTGGTATTTTTCATTGTTTCATCCATACCCCTGTTGTTGTTTTAAACCCTGTCAATTCATTTTTAAGCAATACCTCTAAAATTCCTCAGAAAGATAAGACCCGGTGTAGAAGGACCTGGAGGAAGAAACCAAAAGTGAGATATTGCTGAAAATATGAAATCTACCTACAGGTTGTTACAATTTCCATCGATTGGGAACAGAGAAATGAGATGGGAACTTGGACACCCAGATAGGGTGATAGGATGCTTGAAGTTGCATTCTGGGTTCAACCTAGAGCAGCTGAAATGAAGAAAAAATATTGCTAGTCTCATCCTGCTTTATTTATTTATACTTCCTATTTCTTAAGTGCCCATCTCCCTCAGAGATGTTGCCCTGAGATATTTTCCTAAAATGGGCTTTACATTTTTCTTACAGCCAAAATATCTTATTCAGCTATTTCTGTAATTTGGATAGCTTCTTTTGGCTGTCTGATAGTGGCTAACTTCCACCTAGGATTGTCCAAAAATAAACTCGGCTCTTTCAAGAAAGGTCTTTTATATGTGAAATCAATTCAAAAGTGAAAAAAAAACTTTAGAATAATTAACAAGGACTGCAAAAGACATTGAATTGCAAACTGGCTAACCACATTTTAGCCTATCATGTCAAACAAAAGTAGAAAAGTAGTTAGAGAAACTTTAATTCTTTTTAAAAAGGTAAGCCTATCAGATACATTCAATTACTTTGCTAATTGCCACCACTGGGACTTAACACTTTCTAATATGTGGTTTTGGAGGTGAAGGCTCTGCATATATATTGCCCTCATGGAGCAGATTTAATGATGTTTTCTAAAAAAATCAATTACAGGTGAATGTACTGACTTAGGATTCAAGAACACTAATAAGCCTAATCCATTGTTCTGCCATAGACATTCACAGATTTTGCTTTACCAATGAAGGTGGAATTGGGATGCGGTTCAGATGCTGAATATTATCAGGTAAATGTAATAAGGCCAACCTGGGAAAGGATGTCAGTGCTACCTGCCAAGGAAAGTCTAGGGAGAGAATTTTGTCCATGAATCCAGAGGGACAATTCCCAGAAAATTTGGTGAAAAATCAGTACAAGTTGTCCTTGACTTATGACCTCAACTGAACTCACATTTTTTTGTTAAGAGAGACAGTTAAGTGAGTTTTGCCCCCATTTTACTACCCTTTTTGCCACAGTTGTTAAGTTAGTTAAGTGAATCTGGTTTCCCCAGAAAGTTGCAAAAGGTGATCACATGACTCTGAGACTGCAACTGTCATAAATATGAGTTAGTTGCCAAGCAGCTGAATTTTGATCACATGACCAGGAGGATGCCGCAACAGCTGTAAGTGTGAAAAACAATAATAAATCACTTTTTTTCAGTGCCATTGTAACTTCAAAAGGTTACTAAATGAACAGTCAGGACTATCTGTAATATCTCCTAAGCCTTAATAGGACAGGTATCTAAACAGTGATAAGATGCTAATACAATGCCCTCTCCTCTTTTATGTGATAGTAGAGAGAAGATCCAAGATAGCGAATAAGTATTAAGAGGGCCGAGAGAGAGGCTTAAGAAGAAGGCTCTGTTGCTGGCTGGTTATGCTGAAGGCCCAGCAAGAAAAAAAGCAGTGCCATCATATAACCTATTAAACGAAAGGGGAGAACTAAAAACAAAACAAGAATTAAAAGGATTAGGGATTGACAGATCATGGTGGCCACAGTTGCAAATACAATCCAGGTACGAAAAAGACAGGCAGGAATATGGGTTTTACAATGAACCAAATGAGCTGGACCAGATATTAATGGGAACAGATCAAAAATTAATTAAGAGGATATACAATTATTAACTCACAAATTGGAAGAACAAGTAAAAGAAACAATGATAATTTGGGCTAAGAATTTTGGCTATACAATAGATCTGGATAGGTGGGAGAAATTATGGAATAGAAATCATAAACTTAAAATGTCAACAGCATACAAAGAAAACCACTATAAACTGTTTTACAGATGGTATTAATCACCTCTAAGATTAGCGAATATGTATAAAAACAAATCGATTAAATGTTGGAAATGTAATCAGACACCAGGTTCATACCATATATGGTGGACATGCCCCAAAGCCAAAAAATACTGGAAGAAAATGCACACATGGCTGGAAAATATGATACGACAACAAATAGTTCTGAAACCTGAGACATTTTTGTTGGGTATGATTTGAGGAAATTACAATAAGGGTAACACATATTTGATTCTACACATCCTAACAGCAGCTAGGATCGCATATGCACAATGTTGGAAAAACCCAGAAACCCCTGCAGACAATATTATAATTTAAAAAATTCTGGAATGTGCAGAGATATCCAACCTAACCCTAAAATTAAAGGAAAAGAAGATTCGGACTATTTCATAACATTGGGAACTATTCTATAAATTGTTAAATGACAGATATTGAGGTTAGAGGAGTGGAATTAGGTGAAATATGGTTTATAGCAGAAAGAAAAATAGATGAGTAAATATTTCTGACGGTTATATATCGATACTATAATGGAAGATAATATATGTTATAATATGTTATTGCATATTAGTTTATATATTACCACATATTTGTTTATATATATACGATCATAATGACAATGATGAAGTTTGTATGTTAACACCTAGGACACCTAGAGAGCACACTGCTCAACATAGAAAGGAAATGTATGATATAAAACAATTAAAATATTTTTTTAAAAAAAGAACAAGCAGCCAGGGCCACATATTTGAGGCCTAGGAAAGCTAAGTGTATGGAATGGCATCACATATTTGGTGGTGTGTTTTGGAGGAATTGGGATGAGTTTTGGAGGTTATAGGGCCACAAAAAGTGAATTCAAGGAGCAAACACTGCTCTACGAATGACAACACAGTGTTCTTTGAGATTGTTTTAATGTTTTCTTGAAATATTCAGATTTTCCATGATAAACTATATTTGTTTCTTTTATTTTATTAAGCATTCATTTATTATAATGAACATTTATTACTAAATATCAAGTAACAGTAGACAAAATAAGCATTTTAAACTGGGGTGGACACATAGTTTAGATTTTTCTAACAAGTAGTTGATGGTTTCTGATTTAAAATAATTTAACTGACAAAATTGCACTTGTCCTGCACAATTAGCGTTCCAAGATAGCCTAATATCTTGTAATGGAATGCATTACATTACGTTATACCATTTTCATGGGATACACTAAATCATTTCATCATCCATCTGCCCTTTTATTTCTGGACTCATTTAATTACATCACAATTTTGCCCCAGATGATTATGACTTGTGGCTCTTGGAGCTCTGATAAAGAGGAATGTACTGCAAGTGCAAACTCTGTCATTACTATAAATTCAGACACTTACCTCTGTGACTAGAGATACCACTTCAGCAATTCATTTACTTACAATAAAAATGCTTCATAAAAATATATCAGTGTTCACATCAAGTACAAATATCCATATGAGGCAGAATGTGAAGGTTCTATGATTCTTGGCAAGAACAGAGGGAGACTGAGAAGAATTTGTGAAGAGAACAAAAAAAAATGAGAGAAAAATCTACAGATAGGAAGAGGAGATCAAGAGAGACCTATCATAGTTAGAGAAACAGAAGACGCCAGAGTGTAATACGTATGTTGACCAATATACCCAAAACAATACTTTGTGCATTTATAAATTTCAGTCTGATCTCCATAAAAATACATTCACTAACAGAATCTCAGCAAAATTGAAGGTCTGGCTGTATTCATACGACACATTGAACTATCACCATTAAATCATATTTTAGCTTTGTGTTTTGTGCAAACACATTGTACAGGTAATCCCTGCATTACGAGTGTTCCCTTAGCAAAAGTTCGAGGTTACGCGATAAACACCCCCTAGCGTTTATGAACAAGTTTCGAAACTATGAATGTTGCAGCACCATGGGAGTTGTTCACCCTTACGATCGACTGCAGAGGCTCTGCAACATTTACCCTGCCTATTCTCCCTGCTCCTGCACCGGGTCTCCATAGGCACTAGACCGGTGGATACTCACTTGTAAAGATCTTCACTTTCTTGGCCTTTGGTGCTTCAGGCCTTCGGCGAGTATGCAGAGAATGAAGGCCTAAAATATTGCAAGATCATGTGAGATCAGTAGCGTGAAATTTGGGGCACCAAAGCTCCATTTGGGGCTGAAAAATGCCGGACAAGACCTACGCACACCAAACGGAGCTTTGGAGGGGCGCACGTGGCTGATAGACTGAAGAGGAGATAGCTTGCTAGATCTTCACACAATAAGTGGCCTGTGGGGAGGAGGGGAAGCAATTGTGTGGAGCATGAGGTATTTCAGTGGGTCAGGGAGGTCTTCGGTGGTCTAATAGGTGGCCCCCCACGGCCTTCCCCTCCCTGAAATACCACATGTGCACTTAACAAGTGACGCATTTGGTTTGCGAATGCGTGTTTGAGAGGGAGTGATCGTGTTCAAGGTACAAGAGTCACTCCCACAAATCCTCAGCTTATGAATGGAATGGGCAGGTTCCGTTACATTTGTAACTTGAGGACTATCTGTATTGTATGTGGTTGTGGTAGCCTTAGTTTGATCTATCCACCTAGGGCGCTTGTAGAACCTT